GTTTAATCTCTTAGTCTCGATACGAATTCTGTGACAATTTAACTCAGAGATGATTTCTGTTTGGTAAAAAGTTAATCGGCTCTGAATCATTTGATAAATTTTGTATTCTTTTGTGAGAAAGGGGCGGTATATTAGATGCATTCACCTCTTCAAAGGTAAAGAGGCTAATAGACGCAGGAAGTGACGAAAACTTGATAGCATGTATAACAGAAAGAAGATCGTTTGCATCAAATTGGTAAATAGTATACAAGCCAAATTTAGGTTTGGCCTCAAAAGTTTATTTGGAACTTAGGAGCTGATTGTTTCTCTTTAAATGGTAACTCAATAAATCTTGTTGATTAAAATTTGTTAGAAGACCTAGCATTGGTATTGGCATTGTCCCATCCTTTACTTCCTCCATTTTAGAATTAGTCTTAAGTTCCATATCCATGGCTGGCATAGCTGTTGCAGGTCTTGCAACTACAAATAAAAAATGTATTTGTATGATCTGCAACAGAAAAGAATTCTATTTCTTCTTATCTTTCTGGGACGGAGACAGTGGCAGTTTAAGTTCTTAAAGAAATCATATTATCATAGTGATGATCTATGTCATTTTATCGACCTAAACTGATCTGTATCTAGATAATAGTATGTGCATTATTCAGTGTATTGCTAATGGAACACTGAATCTGAACAATGGAAGTAGTGGAATAAGTCACAACAGTGTAAACTCTTGAGTCCCTCTCTCTCTTCATGTGCATATATAGGAAAAGGCATCTTACTCATCACTCCATCTTATTATGGCAAATTTGTACCTAAATCTCTAGCTGTGAAACCCATTTTTGACCAAAGGGTATTAGTATTACAGATGAGTAGAAGTTTCCCAATGGGAAGGAGGTCAGTTTGGTCTTTTTGATCAACTATAACACACTTGTATTCTAGTTTTACATCAGAAGAATCGGGTTTTCTATCGTTTACTATATAGTTAAATGATGACGGAATTTGGTTGGCCTATTTATTGTTGCATTTCTTCCTAGTAGAACAATATAATCCTATTCATACGGTGTGATGTAGAATTGATCACTCTAGTACTACTTTCTGAAGTAAGGGTGCCTACTACTTAAACACCTATCTTTAAACAGGTGAAGAATAACYTGTTGCAATTCTTGTGCAATGGATGCATTGGATGATAAACCCTTGTCGTAATGATAATCATATAAAGCATGATGAGAAACTTTTAACTTACTTGCATAAAAATACTCCCATCTATGACCAAAGGATGATTGTGCAAATCAGTACCAGGTGGGAGAGACAATAAATCAGGAATCATGTCATCCTTCTGAACCTGGAAAGAATTATAAGCAAATAAAGTAAGCAAGCAAGATAACTAAAATCAGAAAAGCGAAAGATATAAAGTTTTGTGCAAGACCTTGCCAGCTGAAATACAAGGTGACACTGAGCAGAAAGCTAGAAACACTTGGCTGTATACAGGTTGACATCAAATATCTACAGGATCTTCTTATGCAAGCCTTAATTATTGCTGAGTTCTAACATTTCACAGGCTAAGAGTCTTAGAATGACAKGATTAAGTGGACATTCCCCATGATGCAAAAAATATGTTTAAGAGGAAGTACAGGTTAAAAATGTTCTATAGGCTTTGCTACAACCGATTTCTAGAAAATAGGATATGTGATTCACTTACTTAAAGAGTTCACTTATCAAAGTATTTGAAGTATAATAGTTTGCACCTTT